CAGTATACAATTTTTTGCTGTGATAGAATAAATGTTTACTTATCCTACAAAGCACAAATATCATGACAGAGTTGTAACAGCGTGATGCATTTTCTTTGTACAGTAGTTCTTAATGTTGCAATTTATTCAGAAATAAATTTATGTTATAATGTATGTCCTCTTTGCCTTCCTAAACAGTTCATGAATGTGCTATGGTTTTTTTGATGCCTGCCATCTCTGCAGCTTCTCAAAGCTCTGCCTTCTGAATGAAAAACCTGACCTGTGGCCTTGACCAAAACAAGTCAGAGCAAGCCCCAGGTCTCACCTTAGTACGAAAGCTATGGTTTTATTCAGGTTCCACAATTCAAATTATATAAGGCTAACCATAAAATTCTTAGTATCACAGTAAAATTAAAAGAATTTACATGTTCATTGCCGAGAATTAACCCCAGAATAACTCCCAACACATCCAACCTCTATTACTGCTCACTTTAGCTGCTTTCAGTCCCTGCAAAAGTGGGCAGTGAGGTGGGGGGACAGAAGTTCAGGAGTTTCTTCTGCTTGTTGAAGTTTGCACAGATATTTACTGCCCTACTGCCTAGCGGTAAAGGTATTTCTACCGCTAAACAGAAAAGGAAACCAATACTTAGCTGAGGAAATCAGAGCAGGACTTGTCCACCATTAAAAAAGGCTGAAAAAATTAAAGTCAACTTTAAATATACATAAATGAGAACTTCATACTACATACAATTTTGGGTAAAAATCTCGAAGTAAATTATATGCAGTTCAGCCTCTCTGTATGCGTGAACATGATGCAGGTTGTTAATATCATGACAGTGTGGAGGGGGTGGCCACTCACGGTCTTTCCTAATACAAACTAGAACCCAACAAGTGAAACTCATATTAGCCAGATTCAAAGCAAACGAGAGGTGACAACGTTATCAAATGAGAGGATGCAAAACTTGTACATAGGGTCAGGTGGGAGCTGGATAAGCACTTGAAAGAGATGCACCACGTTTTAGTAAATAAGACAAACCCTGTGAGCCTCAGGAGATGCACTGGCCATCAGAAGCCACCCATGGGAGCAGTGGACATGTTTGCCTCAGCATCTGCTGCAGTGCTGGTCCCAGCCAGGGCTGCCCCGCTCGCTTCAGGGGAAGGTGCCTTCCACCCCAGTGTTGCCTCTACCACTCACCTAATGAAGAGCAGAATTTGGCCTGTAGATACATTAATTCAAAGACAGGAGAACTACCAATGAAAAAATGTGTATTTAAAAACTTCATTTTTAGTTTGGTTTTGTTTAGGGTGCTCTTAACATTGGGATCATTAGAAGTTGAAAAACCACAATCTACCTCAATTTTGTCATAACACTGAAGATTTTCATGGTGTCTTCAAGTAAATTAACCATTTTATTGTGGTCTATGATAAGAACAGTCACCTGTTTACAATCATCCTATTAAATTCAGCAGGTAGCCTTTCTGGAGAAGCTAATTTTACTGCTTCTCTTGTCCAGTTTCACGCATAGCTGCATGACAGATGAGCAGAGGAATGTCACCGTGAATCCTGCACTCTGACATTCAAAACAATAGCGGAAAAAAACCCGCTACTCCATTGAAATAAGGAGCCCACATAAGGTACTTAATAAATAAAACGAATTCCAGCCAAGAAGGAAAGCACATCCATGCTAGCCAAGTTAAGAATTTCATTTCAAGGCAGAGCCATTCCTAGGCCTTCACTAAGTATGAGCAAACTCGTAATGCCACTACTTCAATTTTTCAAACCCGTTCTAAAGCCAGTCATCATGAGGAACAGGCCTCAGAAGGCAAACTGCAGCTGTACAGCATTTAGCAGGACAAAGAGTTAAATTAGACAGCTGAACTATCAAGCTAATTAAAACAATTTGCAGTAAAGACAGGTCTGACTGATGGATACTGTGCCCTCCTCTCAGATTCAGCTGGAAATTAGACAGTCAAGTGCAGCAAACTGGAAATATAACCAAGAAGGTTATATTTCATGTCCTTTCACTAACTACCTGGGAAATGCAAGAGATCACATGCAAGGAGCTGAAAAAAAAATTCTCACAAAATACCACTTTTAGGACATGAGTGGGTATGAGTATTACTATCCTCACCTATTCAGAAAAGAATTTGAATCTCAAGAGATACAAAAAGTACACGCCAACATTCCGAGTACACATCATATGCTTATATGGAAATCAACCTTGTCTTGTAAAATGTATGTTCTGTCCTGGGGAAGTTACGTGATACAAGCTAAGGGCTTCTTTCCTAGAAAAACAAACTTGTATATTCACAGAGATATATACTGGAAAGATTCAGAGCTCTGAAGGACAGAAACAGTACAGCAAATATGATTTCCACTGTGACAGTCCTTCCTAAAGCACATTTCAGGAGCCTCCTGAGGTAACCCTTTTCAATAAGGTCACAGCAAAAGAAGTTTGTCAGCATTTCAGGATAATGTTTAAAGCTACATCCCACTCCAACCACCCAGTGATTAAAGTGACAGCTCAAAGAGTGTAAGGTATGCAGAAGCCAAATATTTTTGTAAGATTAAAAAGGCACCAAACAATAGAGTTAGAGCACACACATATGAAGTGGAAATAGAGAAAGGAATCAAGCTGCTACCAGAGACACAGAATGGTTTCAGAATAATAAATCTGTACAACGCACCAACAACGTTTATCTCTGTAATTTACTAAATCTGCATATGAGTAAACCAAGGTGCAGAGAGCCTAACATCAAAGCACTCATATGACGATATCTAGAGTACTATTGAAGTTCTTATGTGGTGCCAAGTCAGCACACATTCCAGCAGGGCTGTGAATCACACCAGATGTGAAAGTATTTTACATTTGAGCAGGAAACCTGGATAACAGCCTGAAAAGCATTTCTACTCAGTCAGCGAACTCAGGTAGAGTCAGAAATAGAGCCCAGATGGCCTTCCAGTCCAATGCTTACCCTATCAAATCTCAACTTGCTCACAATTTTGCATAAAAATAGAAGAAGAGTACAAAGCCAAAAGCTATTACAGATGTTTGATTCACAGAATCATTAACATAGTATAAGAGAAAAATCATAAAGGAAAATACAACAGAGAAAAACACAACCAGAAAGCTTAAGAAAAAAAAATCTACTTCCTATTCACAGTCCAAATAATTTATTTACTTTGTGATGGTCACACAGCAAGACAAATTTCAGTTTTTAGCTGTATAAGAGTATTTGTACACATTTCATTACACTAATTTTCTTCCATTTTTGTCAGCCAGAAACCCACCATATTACACCTGTAAGTACAGGTGCAAACTGATCTAGGGACGCTGGGCAATTCTGAAGTAACACAGAACAACTGCATTGCCCTTCCTGCCTCTTTCAATCCCAGATTACTGAGATGCACTTTTGATATCTTAAGTCTTTGCACAAGACAGCAGGAAACACCGCAAGAATCATGCTAACATTAACATCAGCCACTTTGCCTAGTGGTAAAGGTTAAATGATCTGCAGCACACTGCTTGGTTCTCCCACAACGCTACTTGAACAACCATGATATTTGCCAAGTAATGACAGGCACTTTTGTTTCTTCATTTACACCCAAGGATGCTGGCAAGCACTCAGAGATAGTCAGAACACATCAGCATTAGTAACTTCCTATTAAATTTAACATTCGGAAGTCAAGTCCATAACCACCCAGAGATATAAAATGTAAACAAAATACCTTCAAATTCATTCTCTGCTGCATGCTTCCTTTCTTCCTGTTTTCCTTCAGTCAACACACATACTTTGTTCAATCCTACCCTCTTTGCATCTTCATCTTTCTCACAAGGCTGCTGGAAGATGCCAGTCAACTCTGCTCCTTCACTACTCCCTTGCAAAGAGCAACTGCAGCTCTGTGAGGAAGTGGGGAGAGTTCTGCACAGGTGAAACGTGTTGGCAATTGCTGGTGAGAGATAAGCCTGAGTGAGAGCTCATTGCAAGGTGGTGAAAAACTTAGAAGAGTTCCTCATTCATGTCTCAGTTTATGTCATGATTCTTGGCTCCAAATATTTGGTGTGTAGAGTCTCTTCATGTTGGCCATAGTCTTTGGGCCAGGATTCAGAGCTGGAGTCACCACTTAAACTATTTTTTTTACCTCAGGTGAAAATGGGAAAATGAGGGCTGAGCAGAAAGAAATAGAATGAATGGAAAGATGTGGGCAAGTATGAAAGGGAGGTGAGTGGGAGTTTAACTACAGCATGCTTGCAATAGTTAATAGCAAAACAGTTCACAAATGGTTGCTGGTTTTCTCCAGAAATACCAGGTAAGACATTGTATTACAACTAGCAAAACTGGCATTTTAACACAAAACTTTATTACACAAAAAAAAATATGAATACAAGAGTACTCAGAGCAAGTGCATAACACCACTCCTTTCTCGCTTGAGAGTATTGTAATGCTGGTGGTTGCCTTTTTTTTTTATTAAAAGGGTTACAAGACACAGAAAGAAATTAAGCCATCCTACTGGATTCATTCACGCTAATCATGATTTCTCTCAGGTGACTGAGATAACAGAGCCAGACTCTTCTCAGCAGTAGCCAGTGAAGAGGCAACATGCAAAAATTGACACACAAGAAAACATTCCATTTAAACATATGGAAAAAAACAACAACTTTTTTTTACTATGAGAGTGATCAAACACTGAGCATGTTGCCCAGAGAAACAAGTCTCCATCCTTGGAGATACTCAAAACCACGTGAGTCCTGGGCAGCCTGCTTAGTTGACAGTGCCTTGAGTAGGGTGTTGTACTAGACAATCTCCAGAGGTGTCTTCCAACTTCTACTGTTCTGTGATTCCATATCTACCAGATATCAGCAACATCAAACCTATCAAAATCTAGGTAACTTTCCTACTTCAGCAATGCTGAAGGTGAGCAAGGAGGGTAGAAGAAAACAGACCTGAAAGACTGAGCTTGTTGGCTATGAAACTCACAAAGCAGGCAGATAACCAAACTGGATCTTTCCTTCTCTTCAGTCAGTGCCACGTTCTACAGGTGTTATCCTTGCTTGCTAGTAATAAACACACATTGTGAAGGAATCATTTAGCTGTATCACGTAGTTTATCCATTTTTGTTAA